GGGTTTCTGTCTATTATACACATCTAGATGTGTATAAGAGACAGATCAATGTGTAAGTACGTATTGTAGTTTCTGTCACGGAATATATAACCGGAATGGCAAAAGTAATAAAAAGTCATTTAGAGTCATCAACATCAACACATTAATTTATTCCAATACGTGACGCCTCCAGGGAAACGTTGGGTGACCCAATGGCCCTGGCTAGCCGAGTCCAAAACACCTTCCGACCTTCTTCTTTCGGCCATTCTATGTATGTTTTTTTTCGTAGCACTTTTTGAAGTAATACAGGCATCGATGAATATTTTACGTTCTCTAGTAAGATCGTAACCAATACATCTTCATGTGCGTCAAACATACGATTTCGCGCCATCTCCAATTCAAAGTTACACCATTCACTGCGGACGAAATTGTTGCTGACAACTAGAACGGTTTTCCGACTGGACCTCACCGAGTTTGCGATGTTCTGAGCGATGGCCTCGCCGACCAAAAAGTCTCGGTAATCAATACAAAGTTTTAGATTATGGGGCGGTGCTTCTAATGTTGTTTGAAGCACTTTATTAACCCATTCCACGTCTTTACTATTGTAAGAGATGAATGCATCGTAAATTATACGTTGGTCAAGCGGGGGCGCCTCTAAGTGCGTAAGACGCTCGTACTGTTTCCGTAATTTTCTCCTTTGGTACCAATATCTGGGGGAAATATTATATTTCATTATTTCATTTAGGCCTATTCGACCACGAAAATATACAGAAAAGATATAAACAATAGATAATTACCATAGTACACGGGCAGGTAAAGTAACTAAATTAAAGCAAAGTAAACGAAATTATACACAGTCGCCTGTCCCAGTTTAAATGATTTTTTTTGTTAATTTGGCAGGGGCCGGTGGATTGATTTAAAAAAACAGGGAGAAAATGCACATTGCACTGTATAAAACAAAATTCTATCCTGTAAGTGGTGAAAGTGTACTTTCGGATGTGGAGGAAATAAAATAACAATAAAAAAATATTAATGTTGAATTAGGCCTAATGTTGAAATACGGTAGGCCTACGTTTACGTGATATATGCTTACTATAACCAATTACCAATTACAAAGAAGTCGGGTTGGCAAATAACTACGCTACAGAGTAATAATATACCATTAATAAATTTATTGGTCCAACGTACCTTATATTCCATCGATGATAATAAATAAAAGACACTAACGCACAGATCACGAGGCCCACAGAACATGCCATGGTAATGATCATAATGAGCTGTGATTTACAGTGTAGAATTTCTGGATCGAACTCCAGTAAATTCTTTTTAACAACATCAGTCGGTCCACTTGCACAAACGACTTCATCTTTGTCCAGCAGAGTTGCTGAGGTTCCGTTCAATAACCAGTTACGAAACCAGAGGATATTACAATTGCAGGAATACGGATTGTTCTGCACACTAAGCTTCATATATGCTTACTATAACCAATTACCAATTACAAAGAAGTCGGGTTGGCAAATAACTACGCTACAGAGTAATAATATACCATTAATAAATTTATTGGTCCAACGTACCTTATAAATTAAAGCAAAGTAAAGGAAATTATACACAGTCGCCTGTCCCAGTTTAAATGATTTTTTTGTTAATTTGGCAGGGGCCGGTGGATTGATTTCAAAAAACAGGGAGAAAATGCACATTGCACTGTATAAAACAAAATTCCATCCTGTAAGTGGTGAAAGTGTACTTTTGGATGTGGAGGAAATAAAATAACAATAAAAAAATATTAATGTTGAATTAGGCCTAATGTTGAAATACGGTAGGTCTACGTTTACGTGATATATGCTTACTATAACCAATTACCAATTACAAAGAAGTCGGGTTGGCAAATAACTACGCTACAGAGTAATAATATACCATTAATAAATTTATTGGTCCAACGTACCTTATATTCCATCGATGATAATAAATAAAAGACACTAACGCACAGATCACGAGGCCCACAGAACATGCCATGGTAATGATCATAATGAGCTGTGATTTACAGTGTAGAATTTCTGGATCGAACTCCAGTAAATTCTTTTTAACCACATCAGTCGGTCCACTTGCACAAACGACTTCATCTTTGTCCAGCAGAGTTGCTGAGGTTCCGTTCAATAACCAGTTACGAAACCAGAGGATATTACAATTGCAGGAATACGGATTGTTCTGCACACTAAGCTTCTGTAACTGTGTCAAATTTTGCAAGTTTACCTCTTTTCGAATGTTAGTTATCTGATTGTATGCAATGTTTAGTTCATATAATTTTTCTGATGACCCCAGAAACATGTCGACAGGTAAATTCTGGATGGAATTCTGCTGGATATATACGCCTCTAAGTATAGGCAAGCCGTGAAATAATTCTGGCGGTATTTTAGCAATGCGGTTATTGTTCAGAACGACGATACTTAGATTCCGGAGTTCCTGGAAAGAGTTATCTTCAATTGTGAGCACGTGAGAGCTTGCAATGCGTAAATTTTCTAAAGAAATAAGTGACTTAAACCACTGCTTTCGAACGGTAGAAATCGCGCGGTTGCTTGATAAATAGAGTTTGCGTAGCTTGCCAAGTCCTCGGAAAGCATTGTCGTCAATGAGGGTGTAATCTAATTTATTGATCGAAAGATCTATAAACATTGCATTTGGCGTAGATTTGAACGCATCTGCACTTATTTTTGTGATTTTATTGTTAGACAACAAAATATCTGTGGCATCAGTAGGTATATCTTCAGATGGAACTCGATCAAATCCTTTTCCTGAACAGTCAACCTTATGCCAGAAAGTGATTACAGATCCACCGGGTGTGACATCATGCCGGCAATACTGACA